TTACAATTTAGATTTAACAAATAAATTCAAATTATTTACCACCCCAAAATATGGTAGTAAATTTTTTTTTATCTCAAATGGGAGCTCTGAAAAAGTATAAAATACCTATTTATCAATATCTTCTCATGCCAGAAAATTAACCTCCCTCACTATTCCTAAATACTTAATATAATTTAGATTTAACAAATAAATTAAAATTATATTTAGCCAATACATTTATCTCATATTACCACCCCAAAATATGCCAGTATAAAAATTTTATCTCAACAACAATATTTGAACTCTGGAAATGACATACAATACCAATTTATCAATATCCACACTACATTTTTTATTACAATTTCATATATATTACGCTAAATTTAATAAAATGAATAAAATAATCACTAAAATTTGTCATTTATTTTATATAAAAAAATGTATTTAAAAAAAATTCATATAATTATTCAAGATTTTATTATTCTCGTCATTCTTGATGGGTCATCAACTAGTATATATAAATTTAATATTTTAAATTTAATTATGTTCAGTTGGTGCATGCTTAAGACATACGCCTTTGAAACGGGAGGTTTGTGGATCGAATCTCGCAGAGAGCAAAAAAATAACATTACACTATATAATCTCCTTAAATTTTAAATAAATTAGGAAGATACGAAAACGATCATGTTTTGATTATGGAGATCATATATATAAATATACAAATATGCCTTTTCTCGTAAATATCGTCTTAAGCTAATAAAAAAATCTCCCTCACACCCCCTCCCCTCCCATTCCTTCCCAATAAACAATATATCACTATAAAGGAAAGAAAAATTAGTAAAAGTTAATAACTTTTTAAAATAACGACTAGAGTTCAAAATTTTTAGAAAAAAAAACATTTTTATAAAAGTGAAAACCGGAAATTATTTTTATAAACCAAGGCCTGCAATAAGTAAATCTAAAGATCTTCAATAAAACTTATGGGGGAAAAACCTACCTAATAGTGCCCCCCCCCCCAGCAAAATCCTGGACCCGCCTATGATTTAATATTATAATTACGATAATAAAATATTCCTTCATTAGGTGCTTTTAAATATTAGTGTATCTATTCTATGTAAATTTTTAAAAAATTCTGAACTTTTCTCCCTGAACCACCTAAACCGAAGTTGGTTCAGATATCTTCAACTGAACCCGAACCCGAGCCCCTGTTTTAGAAGGAGGGTTCACAGCCATGTTTTTTATACATATTATTGCAATTGTGTCATTAGGTTTGTTGGTTTTATAAATTTCTTTATATTTACCAAAAAATTTTAAAAAAAGGAAGAACTTATCCTAACTTTATCGAACCTAAACCTTTAGATGGTTAGAAAAAATAATTTCTAGTTAAAAAGTAGTTCGATATCGATATTATTCACTCAAAATTGAATGGGCTAGATAAAGAGGACCAAAATCTCAATAACTAAATAAATTACTATAACTGTTAATTAATGCGCATAGGGGCGGACTGGTTATAAGACCAGGTGGGCATTTTGCCCACGAGGCCTCGAGAAAATGTGGATTTTTGAGGCCGATCAGAGGAAAATATCAAAATAGAAGCCGATTAGAAAAAAAATATTATTATGTTCACATTATTTTCTCTTATCATTTATTTATTTTTAATGATATCTCTATGATTTGAATATCATATTCCTTGAGAATTGTAATGTCGTTTACTATATTTTATTGCATAATATATCAATAACGTCGCTTGAAACAGCTTGTCGGAACGGCTTTCTGCGAGTTGAGAGCTTATCTTGAATGTGCAATATTTGCATCCTTGATGAAAATAGTAATGGTATTTCTGAAAAGGCCTGGAAAAACTGGCACAATTGTAATGTATATTGAGTGTTAAATTTCATAACGAATTATGTTCAAAAAATCCCCCCCCCCCATAAGAAAATCCTGGATACGCCACTGATGCCTAATATCTAATATAAAAAAATTCCCAGCAGGTTCATGCTCATAATCATGTTGAGAAAATTTCATCAAGCCCGCCAAAGACCATAATAATTTTGGTAGTTAAGAACTGAAATAAAATATGTAAAAGTCATAATTCATTTAAAAATACGCCTTGGTTTTTTGATCAGGTTTAGCTATGTCTGCAAAAAAAAATTATGTCTAACCCATATTTAAAATTCAAAAATCTTCAAGCATCTCTATTTTAAATTTTATCCAATCTGATTTCCATCACAAATTTAAATTTTGATATTTCTAATACTCTTAATGCTCACTGTATTGCAACAATTTTACCTCTTTTTCTGCTAAATTTTAATATTTTTATAAAATATATTAATAAAATTAATTTAGTACCATTCACACAAACTAAATAATTACCCTTCAACACCGTCAGCTAGTTATGGTAATAAACGGCAAAATTTTAAAAATATCAGCTATTAAAATATAATTATATTCAAGTTGGTGCATGCGTAAAGCATTTTGACGCCTTTGAACGGGAGGCTTGTAATTCGACTCTCGTAGATAGCAAAAAATTAACATTACATTATGTAGTCTCCTTAAATTTTAAATACATAAGGGAGATACGAAAACGATCGTGTTTTGATTATGAAGATTATATATATTAGATATAGGTAATGAATATGAATTTAGATGTGCATTTTTTAAAAATAAAATATATGATTATCCTATTCTTTTTTTTACTAAAAATGTAAATCGTTTGAACTTATTTTCAAAAAATAAGAAGTAATAAAAATCATGTTAATCAAAGAAGCCATTTAAGGAAACCCGGTCGAAGACCGGGCAAAAGCGCAACGAAGGCCCGCAAAATGGGGGTATGGGGGCGAAGTCTCGTATAAATGAGGCCGCTATAAAAAATGCCCACGAGGCCGTAGTATCGCCAGTCCGCCCCTGAATGCACATGTAATGTAGTGTTGTTAAAAAGCCCGATTTGGGTCCATTTTTCAAAACTTTAAGATTTTAGCTAAAATAATATAATGTAAGCATCGAGATTTGGCAAATGGACCAAGCATTTCTGCCAGCTATGAGTAAAATCTATAGGCTTACATAATGTTATTTTGGTTTTAATCATGCCGTCGACTCGAATCGGGCTTTTCAACAACAATACTGTAATGAATATATCTTTTTCACAGAGATTTTTTTTTTTATAAATTAGTTTATAATTACAAAATAAAAATCAATATATTTATTATTTGCATTTTCGTATTGATTTATATTCATAATTAAAAACGGTAATGATAGCTAAAAAAAATCAGGATCTAACAATCCATATTATAATACATGATGATACACTTTTTCATAGGAAGAATAGAAGCGAAAACAGGTTATTTTACACTATTCCAAAATTAAATTAAATCTTAGTATATTCTTATAATATAATCCCATAATAAAAAACATATAATAAAAATGGGAAGCTATTATTATAACAGATTTTAATTTAATAATTTTTTTTAAATATCAGTTAGATAAATTGATTGATAAAATTAATTAATATACAAATATATCAATTCACAATTTTTCTGATATCATAAAATATAAAAACATGAATAAAATGTTTTTATGGGTTTTAACCACTTCTCCATTAGTGGTTGTGAAAAAATAAATATAAATGGAATTAGAAAATATATCTTCAAATAAAAAATGTTTTTTTTTATCCTCTATGTATAATTCTATGCATTATATTTAAATATTTAGCAATTAGTGAAACTAGTTTATTATGTTTATTTAGCATTAGACATGTTCTTCTTTGTTCTGAAATGCAGCCAGCAGTTCAAAAATTTAGCACACTACTTTCTGAATAAACCGGTATGGAAAATAATTTTTTGTCTAATTTTCTTAAGTTTGGATTGTTATAATTTCTCTTCTCCACCATGCCAATCATGCGAATATATTTTTTATTCTAATAATAAGACAAATTTATAGTATATTTCTAATTATGTCTACTACCTTACTTTTTCTCCTCCAGTATGCTGGAATCAAACATAAATTTGGACAAAGAATCTGATTGCTTTGTCTATATTCAAATAGTGAAAGCCATTTAATGTCATTGTTTACTTATTTTTTTATAAAATAGGCGATATTTTTTTCAGGGATGTGAACCCTTCAAAAAAAGGGTTCGGAGATAAAAAAATAAAAAAGTTTTCCAAGGTTCGGGTTAAGGTAAGGGTTTGAAGAGCATAAAAAATTTAAAAATTAATTTTAAATATTCAATCTAACAATCGTTACAGAGATTTCTACACAAATCTGACAATATCTATTACAAGCAAGAACTGGCACGTTTTACGCTTGACTTAAATTAAGTTTGAAAAATATCTATATATTAATTGTTCATATTTTAGTTAAAATTAAATTAATTAGAAAAATTGGAATTTATTTTACTTCCCTGATTGCATGTTTTTGTCATAATCATAAAATTTATAAAAACAGATAAGCAAGGTATTTTTATTATATTATTATTTATATATAAATAAAATTTTACCTAGAGAAGAAAATGCTAAGAAAAAATCTCATTTTTTATTTTTCATGAATTTTTTTTATATTTATTATCAATAAATTTTTAATTTACTTTGATACCTTAAACTCTTAACTTTTAATAATGGTCGGGGTTGGTTTGAGTTCACATACCTGTATTTTTAGCTTAAAATTCTTTAATCTTATTTTATAAAATATGGTCTCACTATATAATTTCTTTAGATAATATAAAATCAGATCAAAGAATTTATTTTTCTATAATAAATAAAGCATAGAAAACTATTTTACGTTTTTTAACATTACAAAATGACGTACCAATTTTTTTTTTCTTTTTTTTTTTTAATACAAATGTCATTTATTTTTAAATTAAAGATGTATATAGAAATAAAATTAATATTAAAATTAACATATCAAATATAAAATAAAATAAAACAATATTATATAAAAAATTGAAATAAAGGGCAAAAGAACATATAAATTTGGAAGCACGAATAAAATGATATTGGTTTTATAAAGTATAATAAAGTAACAATTACTTCTTCATCCGGCTGAATAATTTACATTTGCAGGCCTTTAGTCCGCATAAGAGATTATTCCCCTTGAAAAATTTCCCCTGCAATTTGAAAATTTTCACCAGTCAACTCTGATCACGATCATGAATGACAATACGATTATTGATTCATATTCTAAATTTGATGATAATAAACTAGTATTATTATTTTTGAGAGTTTTCATAGAAGTGATTTTGGCCTATGGACGGAATATGCAAACTTTCATAATCTTCCTTTACAGCCCAATATTTATACTTTTAAAAAAATTATAATTCACGGATTCCACCTAAAAGAAATTGAATATTGTTAAATTGTAATATAGAGTAAAATTTTACAAATAGGCTCAAGGCAGGACTGAACCGAAGAATAAATAAAGAAATTTCGAAACAGACCGGGCTCCAACCTATAAAATAATAATAAATTCGATTGGGCCAAAAAATAAGTAAATCAAAATTATCTAGAATTAATATCATTTTGAATTTAAAAATCTGTCCTTAGTACATTGACGTTACAATGATGCAGCAGGTCTCCATGCAAACCATTCCTACGAATAAAAATATATTCTAATATTCGGCAGCTATTACTATTTTTTTAAGTCCCCATACATGTTCAGGCAGGAGCGGACTGGATTTGCGGCGGCCTCGTGGGCAAATGTTTTCTAGCGGCCTCATTTTTATGGGGGTGAAGCCATTTGAGGACCTTCGGGGACCCCCTTAATGAGTTTTTCATATTATACATGCTTTTATTAGTTCCTATAATTAGTCTTTGTCTGATGAATGCTTTAAATTGATAATCTTTGATTTTTTTAAAAAGTTTTCGTTCCTTTATTATACTATACTATTTTTTATTTTAGACTTTATAGAAAAATGAATCAATAACAAAGAACTTTTTAACTTGTTATATATTCTAAATAACCATGCCCAATTTTGGTTGTGTGCATATCATAGCATCAAAGAATCTCATAGATACATATTAATTGATTCCTTGGTTGGAGTTACTATTATTTTGTAATATTTCAAGGTTTATTAGACTACTCACTATTACAAATTATATCATCAATATTTTTAAAATTATTTATAATTTGGTAGGACGAAATGCTTTAAAAATATAGAGATTAATTGGATCTTCAACCGTTCATCATTGCGTTCATTGCTATACATCCTCCTTGTTTATTCAAGTTCTTAGAGTTTCATTTTGTATCCAGATGTTATCTGGCAGCTTTAAATCAGGAATATTTTTAGAAAAATTTGTAATACCCTTATTTCGAATGGAAGTGAAGATTATAATAGATACTGAAGACTTGGCATCTTCTATTTTTCGAAGCTGATAAATCTTCAAATTTTTGGTTTCAAAATATAATAAGAGCCGTCCTATTATTTCAAAAAAATCAAAGCGGATATAACATTTTAAATTTGTTTAGATTCTTATTTTTGAAACTAATAATTTTCTACCTTTTGTAATTGCAAAAAAAATGAATAGATAAGAAAACTCTTAATGGATTGGAGAAAGAAGGATATTTTATTCTAAATAGGAATATAGCCATTATTAGAGAACTTCTTTCCTTGGATTTTGATTTATCGAGAAATTTTAGCTTTCCTTTTGTACTTATACTCCTACAAATAGCCTTTTCTAAATGTCTAGTATTTTATGATTAGATATAATTTGTATCATCTAAGGAAATACACATGATTTAAATTTTCAATTTCAAAATTGATAAGTGTTTTATTGTGATCTGATCCTCTATAGGATTTGTTTGCTTAACGACTATACTTGTTACATGGATTTTAATTGTATTTATTATTTTAAAGCTAATTAAATTCTATTTAATTAATAAATTACAAAATAATGTATAAAAAATATAAATCAATTAAAACTTGATTTTCATTTTAGACACGCATTTTTTTTGAAAAAAATAACGTAAAATATAAGTATATATAAACGATAATCCTCAAAAAATATATTAATAATATTTAAAATGCTAAAAAGGAAATTGATAACCTTTAATGAATATGATGAGGGAAAAGTTATAACTTATATGATAAACTTTCTTTCTTTTTTAAATTCACGCGAATATGATTCGTTTATAAACAAAAAATCGCATTATGTTACCTTGAAAGAACTCCACTACATTCCATTCTTTTATAATGCATATAGAAAATTTAGCGTGATTTTTGATTAATCCATAAAAAAAGCTAGCATTGTAGGAATCTCAAATAAATTTTCAAGAAAAAAATATTATTATTTATCTTAATTTAAGTTTTCAAAAAATTTTATTTTTTGATATTGAAGGAAATTTTTTGAAAAGTTTGAGTATCAATAAAAATTATTTTATTAAATGGATTATACTTAAAGTAGAAAATCTATCTAGTGTGTTTAGTCAAAATAATAATTTGAAAAAAAAATTATTATTGGAATAATTCGATAAAATATAATATTACAAAACATAAGCTTCGGGGAGGGGGAGGGGGAGGAAGAGGGGGCGGGTAGAATTAATTAATAAAAATATTTAATATCAGTAATTAAGGTTTTGTCAGTAAACAAAAATTATTTTGTTATTATGCATTATCTTTCTTATTAAAATAGATATAATAATAAATATAAATCCTGTCTAATTTGAACCCTTGAAGGATGTCCGATTGGGGCACATTTTTTATCCAATCTATAATTTAATTAACATTTCTTGCTATAAACATTGAGCATTTCGTCTTATTTTCTATATATATATTATATGTTTGATTCTAAAAATCTTAAAGTCTAGTTAACTAAAAAAAATAAAATAATTTACTATCTTCTTAGAGATAGTCAAAAAGATAAGAATGTTGTAATGATTACATTCATTACATAATTATATAAATTATCTTATAAAAATGAAGAATTTTTTGTAATGGATTTTCTTAAAAATGTACAAACATTATACTACGTGAGATATCAAAAAAATTAAATTATTATTGACCAATTATTATAATTGGATTATCTATATATATTTATAGTCATCGTCGTTTTAAAAAAGTAAAGACATTAAGTTGGTTTTGTTAGTATATTCATTATAATATATAGAAGAGGTTAATATTGTATATATAATACTTATTACTTGTTAGAAAAGTAACTAGTAGCTGGTCGCAGTTATATTTTAGAAGTAACTAGTTACATTGCAATTTATTTTATAAATTATCTATATAACTCATCATTTTTATTATGAAATAATTTTTACGATTTAAAAAATTAACGAATATGCAATTTAAGGCTATGTCTTCACCGCGCATTTTGTAAAACAATTCTATTTTTTATTAGTGCGCGTAAAAAATAGCTAATATTTCTATGGTACTCACGTCTGTTTATATTGTTTATAGTTGCAAAAATAAATGTACGATTTTGCATATTTTTAATTGGTAGCGATAACATAGGTTAAGAAAGAAATAAACGCATTGAAGAGAATATATCACAATTAAATATCTATTTGCACCAAAAAAGGTCACTGTGTAATGTTTACTTGCACTGAAAAATAAATACCACAATATAATATTTATTTTTTCAGTAAAATTTTTATTTGACTTTAAAAATAAACCCTTTTCAAAATTGGTAAAAAGGCGTTTTAATTTTTCTCAGAAAATAAGGTTTCTAAAGTAAACGTATGCTATTGAAGTATTTGATTCTAAACCATATCAAATATCAATCTATTTCAGGTTTCTGACACCTCGTCCTTGTTCAACTAAATTAGTTAAAAATTTAGTAAACGAATTTCATTATTTATGTTAAAAAATGTATATGTCCAAGAATCATATGTTATTAAAACAATAGGGGGATATAAAAGGTAGTTCTTTTTAACTTGCATAATTAACATTGAAATATAATTTGGTATGTTTGGACAAACGAACATTGAATTCGTAACTAATTTAGTCAAGCTAGGACGAGGTATGATAAAAATAACGGGTTGGTTCAGGTTAGATTAGTAAAAATAATAACACCGCTTCGGTTGGAATTTTTTAAATCTGGTTCAAACTATGTAGCATACAAAATTTTTAAAATATTTAAGTAAAAGCATATTTTATAATATATTTTCTAAAACATATACATAAAACAACCAGTTAAAAAATTTAATGTGGGACAAATTTTAAATTGCGGGAGATTTAAGGAAGATTAAAATTGCAGGAGTTTTATGAAACCTGTGCAAGGATGGGGGCTTTTTTACTAGACTCTCACTGAGGAGATGGCATCCTCCGTTTGTTAATAAAAGTTTTTATAGGGACGATATCGAGCCTTTTTTAAACATTTACACAAAATTCAGTTTTAATTAAGTTATTATGATAAAGGGAGTTAAATGATTAATTTCCATTTTCTTCATTGCATTTAATAAAAATATGAATATCACCATCAATATAATAGTAAATGTAATATCTTAAAATCAGTAATATGTCGAGGATAGTAGGGGAGACTGGGGTTAGATAAACCCCGGGGCTTGGCAAAGAATTTAATGCCATTTTAAAATTAAATACATCAGAAGGTTAAAATTTTATCTTAATATAGTTTTTATTATTTTACATCTATAAACAAAAAATCTTTTAAAATATTTAATTATTAAAAATTTTATTCAAGAAATAAAATTTTGATGAAATTTTCAAAAGATTCTTACATGACAGAATTTTAATTTTTATTAAAATATTTAATCATTTATTGTAAATTAAATTTTATGGCAAAGTTTAAACACTCTTATATAATTTGGAAAAGTTTTATGAGTATTTATTATATCTAGATATTGTTTCTGTCAATTTAGAGCTATCGGGGCTTGCTAAACCATAAACGTGAATTATGGCAGTTAATAATGAAAAAAATTTCCATGAAAAGGTGATTTCATGGCTGTTCTATGATTGGTATTTAGAATTTATGCTAAGAAATCATAATCTCTCCTTAAGATACTTATTTATTTATGTCCAAAATGTTTATTAAATTAACCCAAATTAAGTTTCAATTTTTATATAAAATTAGCTTCAATTTATAAGTATTATGATATTTTGAACAATAAAAATAAAATTATTCTATAAGTATCATTATTAATAAATAAAAATGCATTCCATTTTATTATGGCCTAAAAATCAATGGTCTAGGAAGCCCCATGAAGTAGTTTGCCT